AAAAAAAAAAAAAAAAAAAAGCCAAAAAAAAAAAAGCCAAGCTGGGGATGGGGCGGGGAGCCCCAATAAAAGTCTGTCCCGGCACTTGTCTCTGATGTCATGCTAGGGGTTGGGGTCACTTGTCTCTGACGTCACGCTAGGGGTTGAGGTCATGGCGGGAGTGACGTCACTGCCTCGCTGTCAGTGACGTCACGGGCGGGGGATGGAGCCGACCTTCCCAAGATGGCGGCAGCGCCGAGCCAACATTTGACCTTCTAAACATGGCGGCCGCAAAAGGCTTCCGCCACCCCTCCCACTATGGCGGCCGCTGGGCTCAGCCGACCTCCTCAATATGGCGGAAGGGGTGGGTGAGACAGGCGGCGTAGCCGTGCTCTGTCGCAGCACCGGGGCCTTCCTTTCGGCACAGAGCGGGGAATTTCTTCCCGCTGCTGCCGCTCTGCCTTCGGTCACCGGCACACCGCGGCACTGGGTGCTCACGGAGCCGCCGTGCCCTCCCCGGTACGGCGGTGACGGGCGCGTCCCTCACGGCCACCTGACCTCCTCATCATGGCGCCGCCGTCCCGCCGTGCCCCGCCCGCATCCGGTGCGGCCGCGCAGGCGCAGAGGGGCCGGGGCCGCCATTTCGTTCGGCGGGGCTGGGGCCGGGGCCGGGAGGAGCCGCGGGTGAGCGGGGGAGGGCCGGGGGGGACCGGCGGGCCGGGCCGGGGCTGGCGGGGCTCGGGGGGCCGGGACTGCGGCCGCGGGGCGCCTGTGCGGGGTGTGGCGGCCTGGGGTGGCTGCGTGGGGCCTGTGCCGAGCGCGGGACCGGCGGGGCGGGGGGTGCGCTGAGGCCTGCGCGGATCCGGGGGGTGCCCGGGGCCGGCGGCGGGTCCGCGGGGTCGGCTGTGGAGTGACAGGGAGCGGCGAGGCCGGGGGGCTGCAGCCCCCACACATGGAGCCCCTGGAGCGTCCCACCCTGACCCCTGCGCCGCCTGTGAGATCTCCCACCTCCTGACCCCTGGGTCACGTCCGGGACCCTTCCCCAGAACTACCCTGGACCCCCAGCTTGGGTGTGCTCAGAACGTGCGGGTCTTGGGGCTTGTGACCCCACTACCATGGCGATCCTCACTCTGACCTCTCGGTCTCCTCTAAGAGCCGTCCCCTGGAGCTCCACTGAGACCCCCGTGCTGCCCTTGACCCCTCCACCCTGACCCTTGAGTAACGTGTGGGATCCCCCCCCCACCCAGGACCCTCCTTGTACCCCCACCCTGGGTGTGCCTGCAGCTGGCAGGACCCCCTGGGATCCCCACCTGGCCTCCTGGACTTCTCTGCCCCTCCTTGGGCTCCTGTCTTTGGCTTGGCTGGAACCAGCGGGGCCAGGGGTCTGGGACCTCCACCCTGACCCCTGTGGGATTGCCCTGAGATCCCTGCACTGACCCCTGGACCCCTTCACCCTGACCCCTGGGTCACTTCAGGGACCCCTCCTCAGGACCCCCAACCTGAGGGTCTCCAGAGCTGGCAGGACTAGGGGCCTGGGACCCCCACTGTGACTCCTGGCACCCCTCTGACCCTTTCACTCCTCCCCAGGAACCCCCTGGACCCCCAGCCTGGGGGCGCCCAGAAATGATGGGGCTGAGTACTTGGGGTCCCACCATAGGGACCCCCAGCATGGAGGCTCTGACCCCAGAGTGTCCCCTGATGCTCCCCCTATGGCCTCTGAGACCCCCACCATGACCCCATTGACCCCTCCCCCCTAACTCCTGGGTCATCTCAGGGTCCGCTCCCCAAAACCCCCTTGGGGCTGTCCAGAACCGGTAGGACCAGGAGCCAGGGACCCCCAGTGTGACCCCTGCGTCTACCCAGGACCCCTCCACCCTTCTCAGGATCCCCCTGGACCCCCTCTATGACCCCTGGGGCCTCCACACTAACTCCCAGGACCCCAAACTGACTCCCTGGACTCCTCCACTCTTCCCAGGACCCCCTGGACCCCCGCTCTGGGGGTGCTCTGGGGCCTGTCAGGACGGGGGGGACGACCCTGTTTGGGGTACAGAGGGAGGGGTGGACTTTTTGGAGCCTGTAGTGGCTTAGGGACAACCATGGACACAGAGTTTCGTGGAATCCTGGAATGACTTGAGTTGGAAATGACCTGAAATCCCATCTTCCACTGGAAGGGGTTGTTCCAAGCCCCATCCAAGCTGGAACACTTCCAGGGATGGGACAGGCTTTTCAGGACAATGCTGGAGCTGAGTTGTTCCTCCCGCTCCAGGGAAACGCATCCAGGATTCCCCGCTCCCGGTCCAACGGCGTTCCCGACCACCGTGCCTCAGGCAGCGCGGGTGGGAAGGCCGGTGCACCGGGAGCACATCCCCGCGGCGGGATCCCACTGTTGGGATCGCTGTCAGGATCGCTGCACCCGGAATTCCCAGCTCCGGCTCGAAGGAACCGGGAAGTGCCCGCGTCTCCTGCCGCTTCCTCCCTCTGGAACAATTCAGCGCTTCCTGCCCAGCCCCTCGGTCCCTGCCCAGCCCCTCGTGTGCCACCTCTCCCTTCCCGGCTTCCTTTTGCCTTTTCGGAAAAGGGGGAGCGGCAGGGGAGGCTGCGGGCCTGGCAGGACGGGTTTTTCCTGCTTTTCCCTTTGCTGCAGCGGAATTTCGGGACAGGGCGCCTTGCTCCTGATTAAAGGTTTCCTCTGCTGAGTGACCTGAGATGAGCTGGGAGCAAGGGATAGACTGAGCTGCGGGGGTTCTTGGTTGGGGATGGGAAACTGAGGCCAAGGAAACTGGGAATGGGGAAACTGAGGCCAAGGAAAGTGTGGAGAGGAAAACGGAGGATGTGGGAGATGAGGATGGATAGGGAAACAGGTTGTAGAAGCTGTGGGTGGATGGAGAAACTGAGGCTGTGGAGCCCATCTCTGAGGAATTAGAAACTCTGGACTTCGGGGTTTTTGTTAAAAATGCCTCGTCAGAGCCCGCGGGTCGTTAATAATTCACAGGGAGCGTCTGGATCCCGCGGGGCCGGAGCGTGTCTGTCTGTCTGCACGCAGGGATGCGCCGGCTCCGCGGGATGCTCCAAATGGAGCTGGCAGCTCGGCTCGGGAAGCATGCTGATAGGATTTTAAAAGCCTGAATGACCTTAAATCCTGCGATGGCTGTCGCTCAGGATAAATTATTTATGTAGCATCCTCAGCTCCTCGGGAGCGGGCAGGAATGTCAGGCTGCGGAGGACAGGGTTGGAATTTGGGAGGGGGTAAGGAGGAACTGCGGGTTTGGATGGGAAGAGAGGGAAGATAAAGGCGCGGGGGCGGGTGTTGGAGAGGTCCAGCCTTGGAAGTCGTTCCCAAACCGGTGCGGCCGCATTTCTGCACCGACATCAGAGGGTGGAAATTCCTCTTGATCTGCAGTTCAAAGCCTCCCTGAGGATGAGGCGCTGCAGCTCGGGCTTGCAAATGTGAAATACAAATCCGCCCGGAGCCCAAATCCCCCTGAAAAGCGAGGAAATAGGCGGCTGAAGGTCACTGCTGCTGCCTGTCCTGCTCCAGCAGCAATCCCCCCGGGATGGGGGCTGCTGCTGGGGAGGGCGTTTCAATTCCCTCCACAGCAAACAGGGACTTGAAAAATGCCTGGAAAACATGGCGTGTCTCCCAGGCTGGGCCTGATCTGCTCAATCCTGCTGCTTTTAGGGGACAAGGGGCAGCTGAATGTCAAGTTCTTGGGATTTAGTAATGTTTTGATCGCACGGTTGACAGGGAAGTGCTGATCCAAATCACTGCTGAGGCGTCTGTGGCCGTGGTGGGCTCTAGCGTGTGGAACAGCAGCTCTGAAGCAGTTTTCCACAGGGTGACCTCGATCTCCTGATCTCTCCCTCCTCCCAAGGGACAGCTTTTCACACCTTGTTTTCCTCCTGCTTTGCTCTGAGCTTTCCTGAGGTTTGGTTTGGATTGGAAAAGCAAAGGCACTGTGTAAACCTGCCCCTCCTGCCTCAGCCCAGCTTTTATCCACTGGTGTCTCTAGATTCAGCTCTTCCCAGCCGCTTTCCCTGCGAGCACAGGGAGCTGCCACCACGGCTCTTGCAGCCCTCAGAGGCTCTGATGTGTCTTGGTGGAAGGGTCCTGGTAAAGAAGAACAAAGTAGAAGGAGCACAGAGAAGTTGGAGTGTTGTTCACAGGGATAACTTCTGCCAGGCATGAAGGGGTGCTGGGAGGAGAGCTCCCCCCTTTTTTCTTTTCCTGAAGGATTTAGCTCCTGTCTTCCTAATCTGTATCAGCTGGGTCTGTCTTCTTGCACATGAAAGATCCAGGCTGTATTTCAAAGGCACCGTTCCCACTCGGAGCTCTCAGCTTTTCCCAGCCTTGTGCTGAGTTCGGGGCCTCTCGATTTTGGTTTTTCAATGTGACCTTTGCTGTTAATCCCCAGCCCGAACGGGGCCGTGCACCGAAATGGAATGACCTGTTTCTTGGGAATTCAGCTCCAGTTTATCCTCAAGCTGCTTTAGCTTAAACTCTTCTCTCCTTTCCTCTCGCTCTTCTAGGTCAGAGCCTGGATCTGAGCGCAGGTTTTGCTGTAAGGGCACCTTAGAGGGGAGACAGTGTCTCGTGATCTGTTTGTAGAAATAACCCCCTTGTCCTACAGATCCCTGTGGATTGTCTGGAGCCTGTCACAGAGTGTCAGCAGATCACACTGAGAGACCCCAGCAGTGCTGGCCTGGCACGGGTGGCACTGGATGGTTTGTGCCAGCTGACAAATCCCTGTTTATCTGTCTGTGAGATGCGTCGCTGTCACGGGCCACCGAGGGAAGTGTCACCCTGGGAGTAATCTGCTGGCACAGGAGCAGAGCGGGGACACAACGTGTGACGTTCCCGTGGGTCGGAAGGTGGTGGCCCTGGCATCACTCCTGTGCTGGCTCAGGGCTGTGACACACGAGCCCAAGTCGGGAGTCTCATTACCTGGCATGTTCCTCAGCTGGATCCCTGCTAATTCCCTCCGGCAGCTGATCCAGCACGGCTGCAGCTCTGCCCGGAGCCACTCGTGCCACCCTGGCCCTGTGATCCCACTGCGGGTGGGAAGGAGCGCAGGGAAAAGTGTTCCTGTTCCAACACGTCCCAGACGAGCACGTTCAGAGCAGTCTGTGATCCTGCTCCAGTGGGAAAGGCAAAGGCCGGATGGGTTTGCTGGGCGTTGTTCCCAGCTGGAGTGTCCGGAGGGATCGATGGACGTGGGCTCTTGGGTGGGAGGCCTCGAGCTCGGGCCGGGGCGAAGGAGCACCACGTTTGCTCCGGGAGGGCACTGGGGAACTGGGAAAATGCCATAAGATAGAGGGAGGAATGTCTTCCTGATGAAGCTGTAGCTGAGGACTTTTCACAGGGTAGAAGAGCTGATTTTAATTAAAAGGCAGTTTACGTATTTATTTATTTCCCTGAGCCCCAGAGCCAGTGGTTTGCCCGAGGGCAGGGGAGCCGCTGCTGTGGCAGCCATGCTGTTGCTCCCTGCTTCCCGTTCTCACACCCTGGGAATGTCTGACAGAGGATGGACCTGTGTCCTGTGGGATTAGGAAGTTGTAGTTTGTCTAGCAGGAGATGAGTGTGAGAAGGGATCTGGTTGTTAATACCTGGTACAAACCTGAGTCATAAAGGAACTTTCCCTGTGGTAGGGGCTGTTCCTGTGCCCTCTGTCACCTGCCCTGGAGGTCAGGGCTCGGAAATCAGATGTTTCAGGTGTGAAACTGCCCTGTCTTTTCCTCCTGTTTGTGGTGTGGTTCCCGTTAGTGACTGTGGAATAGGTTTTCCTGTGGGAAGGACATCTGTGGCCCAGAGAGGGACATTTGTCCCCTGCCTCAGGGCCTGCTCTGAGCTCCTGGGACTCTCCATGTGGTGAGCAAGGCCTCCAGTCATCACATTCCTATTGCCTGAGCTGGTGCTATGCAAGGCCCTACCTGAGCACTGCTGTCAGTGGCACGAGGGCCTGTGACCTCCAGTGATTCAAGCTCCTTTTCCTGTCCCCAGTCCCTCTGTGTTCCATCTCCAGTGCTGACCGGAGCTACCGGGCCCCGCGGAGCCCTGGGAGCTGTTCCAGGTGAGCTGTGGTGCCAGACAGGTTCATTCTGGGCTTCTGATGAGTTGGGAACATTGCCAGATCTGTCCTGGGAAAGCTGGTTTCTCTGATTGCTTGGACAGCTTTGAGGGGGCTTTGGAGTTGTGGGGCACTGAGAGCCTTCAGTGCTGGGGGTTGTTGATGTAGGAGACAAGAGGTTGGGAAATTCAGGGATGGGAGCCACAGGACAGCCCTGTGCTGCTCCGGCTGCTGTGGAGCTGGAGCCATTTGGCTGATTTGCCCTGGCCATGGATGGAGAGGCCATGGGGCCACATGCCAGTGCTGGCAGCTACTGCCACACTCCCAAGTGAGCAGCCTCTGGGTGCAGCTGGAGGAGCCGGATGGATGGGGCAGGATCAGCTTGGCCAGGTTTTGTCTGCGGGGCGAGGTGGTTGTGTGCGACATGTCCTGGGTTTTGACTGCAGGCGCTGTGGGAGCCCTGGGGATTTGGGGTGGGGATGTGCTGGCTCCCACCTCTGGGACCTGCTGCTCCAGGGTGTTGGGACAGCTTGGGAGAGCAGCTCCAGCCGCTGCTCTGCACAACCCCGGGCACAGGGCAGCAGCACAATTCCTCGGGGCTGTTTCACCGCCGGTTTCCCTGACTGCTTCCTCCCTTCCCGCAGGCATGAGTGCCCAGGCCTGCCCCCAGCACTGAGACCCCGGAGCCGCCAGGATGCCGATCCCTCCTCCCCCGCCGCCGCCCCCCGGCCCCCCGCCACCCCCCACCCTCAGTCAGGTAGGGGTCACCTCGCTGGGCTGGGAGGTGGCCTGTCCCCACATGGAGCCACTTGCCAGAGGAATTGCCCCTGGAGAATGCTGGCTGTGGCAGGGGTGGGGGGCTCTGGGAGGTGGGAATGCAGAGCTGGGCTGTTCCCGTGCCGGGGGGTCCTGGGGTGGTGCTGAGCTGCTGCTCCTCTCCAGGCGAACACGGAACCGCCGAAGCTGAGCCGAGAGGAGCAGCGGGGCCGTGGGGCTCTCCTGCAGGACATCTGTAAAGGGACCAAGCTCAGGAAAGTGACCCAAATCAATGACCGGAGTGCACCCATCCTGGAAAGTGAGTCCCCGGGAGGCTCCCGGCCCCACGCTGGGCACTGCCATACCCTTCAGGGCGCTTGTCCATCTGGTTCCCAGCAGATCCTCATTGGAGGAGCGGATAATTCCAGGCTTAACCTCTTTGCCTCCCTCCTTTCAGAGCCCAAGGGCAGCGGTGGCGGCGGCAGCTACGGCTCCAGCTCAGCTGCCATCCAGCCCAAGGGTGGCCTCTTCCAAGGCGGCGTTCCCAAGCTCAGACCTGTGGGAGCCAAGGACAGCTCAGGTAATGGCCACAGGCCCATCATCTATGTGGGGGTCCCTGGGGAGGGCCCTGAGCAGGAAGGGGTTGAGGATCTCACTGTGTATCCCTGGGGATTTCAGCTGCTAAGAGGCAGGATGCCAAATCACATCCCATGCATGGCACAGGCCAGCCTCAGCCCCACACACAGACTTCTTGGAGGGCGCAGGAGTTTCGTGTATTGCTGAACTCTGTGGTGGCCACAGAGTAGAGTGGTGAGAGAGGAGCCGTGTGTGGCTGTGCTCGGTGCCAGCCCCCTGCGTGTGCCAAACAGCCGTCCCTGGCCGTCCCTGTGGCCTGGCATTCCTTGGCTTGCAGGGACAGGGCACTGCTCCCGTTCAGTCCCCAACCCCTCACTGTGCTCTCCTTCCCCGCAGACAGCTCCACTAAACAAACACTGCAAGTCCCTGGCTCCCGAGCAGCTGCTCCCAGGCCCCCGGTGCCGGCCAGCAACAGCCGCCCTCAGGACGATGCCGACAGCAGCCGAGGGTCCCCACCGGAGCTGCCGCGCACGCAGAGGCCCTCCCTGCCTGACCTGTCCCGGCCCGGCACCGCCGGTGGCACCGGCATGAAGCACAGCTCCTCGGCCCCGCCGCCCCCACCGCCGGGCCGCCGCGCCGCCGCCCCCCCGGCCCCACCGGCAGCGCACGCCAAGGCCTCGCCCTACAACCGGGAGAAGCCGCTGCCGCCCACCCCGGGACAGCGCCTGCCCGGCAGCAGGGACGGACCCCCCGCCCCTCCGCCCATCAAACCCCCTCCTTCCCCTGTCAGCCTCCGCTCGGGCGCTCAGGGCCAGTCTCTCGCCCCCCCACCTCCCCCTTACCGGCAACCCCCCGGTGTCCCCAACGGCCCCTCCAGCCCCAGCAGCGAGTTGGCTCCGGAGCTGCCGCAGAGACACAACTCCTTGCACAGGAAAGCGCCGGGCCCATTGCGGGGTCTGGCACCGCCGCCGCCTGCCGCTGCCTCCCCGTCCCTGCAGAGCAGCCGCCCCCCGCCGCCGGCCAGAGACCCCCCAAGCCGTGGAGCAGGTAAGAGCCACTGGATTGACGGTGCCTGGGGGCAACTGGGGTGATAAGGGTGGGAGGTAAGAGTTGGTTTCGGGACACAGCGAGTCTTCTGCATGTGGTGTAGGGGCCAAGCTGGGGTAGGAGTTGCAGTGCCATGTTTAACACATGTCCTTGGTCATGTCCTGTGATCATCCAGCTCCTTGCAGGCCTGGTGCTGACAGTGATTTGTGGCTGGGCAATTCCTACCTGTGCTCTCCTGGGGTGGGAGATGAGAATGGGGGAGAGCGTAGCTCCCCTAAGCTTCCTAAATGTCACTGGGAGGGTGCAAAAAGCTGTGGCAGAGGAGGGAGAAGCCTTTCCCTGGGTGTGCAGCCCTCGGGAGTTTGTCCCCATGGCTGGGATTGGTGTTGGCTGCGCCCTGGTGCCCCCCCGTGCACTCCTGGGCTCCCTGTCCAGACCGCAGCTCCTGCCTGGGCCCCTGCCAAGCCGCTCCGTCCTTCTGGCCCTGCCAGAATCCCTCCTCAGAGCTGCAGCTGGGGATCTGTGCTGTCAGCCTGAGTGTAATTAGGCTAATGAGGAGCACGAACTGCCACGGAGCCTCTGCGGGAGGCTGGGCAGGAGTGAGAGGTGGGTCAGAGGGGCTGTGGATCCTGTCACTGCCTTGGTGACACTGCGGATGTGGCTTCCAGTCTTGGCAGGCAGCATCTTGGCTCCATGTGGTGCTGCTGCCCTCGGACTCGGGGATGTGCTGGATCGTAGCTTCTCCTGGGATCCCCTCTGGTGCGGAGGGACCTGTGCTCGATGTGGGCTGGGAGCATGTGGGGCTGGAGCAGCCCCGGGGTGGACGGTGAGCCGGAGGGCAGTGGGGCTGGCTGGTCCCTGCCCTGCAGCTGGTGGAGGGATGAGGAATGCAGATGTCAGGAGCGAGCAGGAAATCTCCGGGCACGCGTAGGAGCATCCCTGGGCCGCGGTCTGGCACAGCAGCTGGCCTGGAAAGCACCGGGGACGTCCCCGGGTTTGCCCCGGGAATGCCGCGCCGCGCTGACCCCGCTGTCCCTGCAGCTCCGCCGCCCCCGCCGCCGATGCTGCGGAACGGAGGGCGCGACGCCCCCCCGCCCCCGCCCCCCTACAGACTGCACGGCCCCGCCGAGCCCCCCAGCCGGGGGAAGCCCCCGCCGCCACCCACCCGGACCCCGGCCGGGCCCCCGCCGCCACCGCCGCCCGTGCGGAACGGGCACCGGGACTCCATCTCCACCGTCAGAGCATTCCTGGGTGAGTGGGACCCCCGCACGGATCCCCCTCGCAGCCGAGCCCTGTGGCTTTGGCCAAGCTCCCCCAGAGTCCCCCCTCCCTCACCTGCCCCTCCTTCCATTTCTTCACAGATGACTTTGAATCCAAATACTCCTTTCATCCCGTTGAAGACTTCCCAGCCCCAGAGGAATATAAATACTTCCAGAGAATCTACCCCAGCAAAACAAACAGAGGTGAGGAGGAGGAGGAGGAGGGGGTGTCCCAAATTCCCTCTCCTTTCCTGTGCCCTCATGGCTGGCACTGTTCTCTTTGTCCCTGCACAGGGTGGGTGGTGCAGTGGCCATGCCCTGGGCCCTGCCGGTGTTCTGGGGGTGCTGAGCCCCATTCCCAGGGGTTCTGAGCCCTGAAGGCAGCTCTCTGTGCTGCGGTGGGGCCAGAAATTGGGGCTGTGCAGATGCCCTATCCCACCTGCTCCTGGTTTGCCTGCTGGGAAATGCTGCAGGGATCATTCCTGCCTTTGCTGAGCACCTTTGGCAGCAGAGGGGATCTCGAAGCACGCCGGGGCTGGGCAGGGGCTGAGGGGATGCAGACCCTCCGTGTATCCCAGGATAAGCTCCGAGCACGGGCACTCCGACCCGGCAGAGCTCAAAGTGCCCTTGGTGCTGCGCGTCAGCGCTGCGGATCCCGGCGGAGACTCCGGGGAGAATGGGATGCTCGTTTATTTTTAGAGCCATGAATGTTTAATGCGGGTTTGAAAAGCCCCGAGCTCGGTGCTGCGGCTGCAGCGGCTGCTGCCAGGCGCAAATCCCAAATCCCAGGCTCCAGATCTCCGCGGGGAGGTCGGGGGGGGGGGCCAGCAGCTGGCGCGGGGGTGTGGAGGAGGGAAAGCAGCCGTGCTGGATCCGGCTCTGCGGAGCTCCCGCTTCCAACAGGCTTCCTTGTCTTCCAGCTACGCGTGGGGCTCCCCCTCTGCCCCCCATCCCCAGGTGAAACCGGGCTGTGCAGGTGGATTGTTCCAGAGCAGAGACGTGGACCTCCTTCCCCTTCCTCAGCCGGATTCCCCCAGCTCCCAGCCCCCCGGATCCTGCATGACACACTCCCAGCCTCTCCGGTTTTCCCAGGACAAGCGGATCCCCCCCCAGTCCAGCGTGCTCCGCCAGCCCCACCTCATCTATGCACCCCCCAGGACTTGGTGACCTCGTGGCAAGCCTGGATGGGTCCATCCCTCATTCCTCCTCATGGATCCTGGGTCGGGATCTGCTTGGGAGCCTGGCACGGGACTTGAGGCCGAGCTGTGTGCTGGCCGTTGGGACCAGGGGGGCTCATGGAGGGGGGCTGGGGTCAGGCAGGGAATGGACACACTGTGAGACCCCCAGAGCGAGGGGAAGCAGGGACAGGCCGGCAGAGCCTCGTTATCCTGGTGGAACTTGTTATCCCGGCACAGCCCATTGCTTTTTTGCACAGGAGCCAGTGGAGGCAGGGGGCAACGTGAGTGGGACCATGCAGGGACACCCCAAAACTGCTGGGGACCCATTTCTCTGTCCCAACAGGGGGGTACCCCTATGTGCCCCCCTTGAAACCTCTGCTCCCCTGGCATTCCCCCTGGGATTCCCCTGGCTCTCACTGCTGACTCCCCCCAAACTTGAGCATTTTAACAAGAAAACACTAATTACATGGTGGGGGGCTGTTTGTGCTGGGTCTGGCGCATCAGGGGGCGCGTGGGGGGCCCTGGGGGCCAGTGAAGTTTTGCCTTACACTCCCTGTCCGACGGGTGGTCCCGGCCCCGCGGCGGGGGTGACACTAACGTAGTTACTGATCTCTTTGTACCATAGCGGGAAGGGCACGGGGTGCAGGGGGGCCACCCCTGCAGGTTTGGGGCTCATTCAGGGGATTTTTTTTCTATGATGATGGACCTTCCCCTGTTGAGGCTGGAGTGAGGTGGGTGAGGGGTGAGTGGGGGGTTTCTCTGGAGAATGAGCCCCCCCCAGCGCTGCATTTTGAGTTAAATAAAAGTTCAACACGGTTCTGCCCCTCCTGGAGTGAGGGGCCCTTTTAAAAGGGAACAGAGGAATTTGGAGGAGCTGGAAATTACATTTAAATAAAAGTAATAAAGCGATTAATGATGTCAAGGATGCTGTCTAAGTGGGAGGTTCCCAAGAACCCCTTTTCTTTCTTGGAGGTGATGCCCCGAGTGCTGGGAGCAGGGCACTTAGGCAGACAGGGTGGAGGGTACTGGGAGCACAGGGAGGCAGTAGGAAGGCAGGATCGGAGTTACATGTGGCACTGGGAACACTGGGAAGATGGGTTGTGGGTACTGGGAGCAGGGGGAGGGGAGACTGGTGTGTGTGGGCACTGGGAGCATGGGGGCAGCGCGGTGGGGAGTACTGGGAGCGTGGATAGACAAGATGGGCGGCAGCAGGAAGCAGTGTAGGAGGAACTGGTGGCACTGGGAGTACGGGGCAGGCTGGGTGGGGGGTGCGGGCCGTGGGAGCGCTGGGAGCGCTGAGTACCCGCAGGCAGACTACAACTCCCAGCATGCCCCGCGCGCCGCGCTCCGCACTTTCCGCCCTCCCTCGGGTACGCTCGCTGATTGGCTGCTCTGTTGCGGCCCTTCCTCCGGATGCGGCGATTGGCGGCGGCGGCAGCGGCGCAGCCAATGGGGCGAAAGGGGCGGGGCTAGCTCGGCCTGGTGGCGGGAAGTGTGGAGCCGGGGCTGATTTGGCGCGAGAAGGTCGGTGCGGCATGGGGGGACCCGGGGGGATATGGGGGGGCTTTGGGGGACATGGGGGTCAGAGATGGGGGGCAGCGCGGCGGGGGCTGGGACTAGTGGGGTAGAAGGTGGCCGGGACCCGCGGGGCTGGCGGTCTTTCTCACCTGGCCGGGGTCCCGCCCTCTGACCGCTGTCTTCCTCCACCCGTAGCCCCCGCCATGGCCAGCAGCAGCCCGCAGAGCCAGCCCACCATCGCCTTCCCCCGCACCAGGAGCGCCCGACGCCTCGCTGCCCCCTCGGCCAAGAGCGACCCCGACGCCCCTGCTCTGCGCCCCTCGCCGCGTTCCAAGGCCTCGGGCCCCGCCGACCCCGGCCAGGCCACCCCGGACAAACGCTCCAGCCGGGCTGCAGCACAGCCCCTGAGCCCCACAGCGCAGCCCCTGAGCCCCCGCAAACGCCTGGGTGAGTCCCTCCGCCGAGACCCCCCGGGAATGGGGGGCGGCACATCCCCCTTCCTATCCGGGGGGCTGGGGCAGACAGATGGGTCTGGTCCAGCTGCGTTTGCGGCTTCACCCCCATTTCGGGAGGAAGAGCTGCTCCCACTGGGTTTTTTGGGGGGTGCTGAAGCATAAAGTCCGCCAGGGAGAGCGGCCCCGTGTCACCACAGCCTGTTGTCCCTGCAGGTGATGACAACCTGTGCAATGTCCCCCATGCCGTGCCTTGCTCCCCGGCCAAGCGCAGCAAGGAGAACCGGGGCCGTCGCCTGCTCTTTGGGGACCCCTCTGCCTCCCCCGAGCAGACTAAGGGCCCGGGGCCGTCCCCACAGAGCAGGGGAACCCGTGGAGGCCCCACTCGGAGCCCAGAGACCCCTCGGAGCTCAGGGCTCAGAAGGCAGCAGCCACCCACCCAGCTCTTCAGGCAGGAAGGTGGGTATGGGATTATGGATGGGATTGTGAGCGTGGGCAGGGCTGGGTATGGGGTTATGGATGGGATTGTGAGTGGGCAGGGCTGGGTATGGGGTTATGGATGGGATTGTGAGCGTGGGCAGGGCTGGGTATGGGGTTATGGACGGGATGGGGATGCAGGGATGGGATAGGGATTGGGAATATGGAAAGGGATGGTGATAGGGGTCAAGTTGAGGGTGGAGCAATGGATAGCAATGGGGATGAGGTGAGGGATGGAGCCAGGGTTAGGGATGGGTATATGGAGCTAGGGATATATATGAAGGTAGGGATGGGGACAGAGGCATGGATGGGATGATGATCAGTTGGGATGGAGTCCCAGCAGTGCCACCTCCCTCCCTGAGTCCTCTTGCTCCCCGTGCAGGTACCTGTTACCAGCAGGCCAAGCAGGTGCTGCATGCAGCCGTGCCCGAGCAGCTCCAGGGCAGGGAGCGGGAGACGATGATCCTCCGGCAGTTCCTGCAGGATCACGTCCTGGGGCGCCGTCCCGGCAGCCTCTACGTGTCCGGAGCCCCCGGGACTGGGAAAACAGCCTGTCTGAGCCGTGTTCTGCTCGACTGCAAGGTCTGTGCCACGGCCACAGCCGTGGGGCTGCTGTGGGGGCTGGGGGACAGTGGGATGGGGCCAGTGTAACATTCCCATTCCTGGCAGGACAAGCTGGCTGGCAGCAGGACTGTGGTGCTGAACTGCATGGCACTGGGCAGCCCCCAGAGCGTCTTCCCTGCCCTGGCACAGCACCTGGGGCTGCCCGTGGCCACTGGCCGGGAGTGTATCCGGAGCCTGGAGAAGCATCTGACGGCCAAGGGGCCCATGGTGTGAGTTCCCCGTCTGGGGCGGGTGCAGTGGGATTCCCCTGGATGCCAGGAGAGGCAGGCTGGCAGCAGCTCTGCTCTCCCTGCTTGAAGTGCTGTGAGGGGACAGAGCAGGGGGTTGATCTGGGCTCTCCCACAGCCTCCTGGTGCTGGATGAGCTGGACCAGCTGGAGAGCAAAGGCCAGGACGTGCTCTACACCCTCTTTGAGTGGCCCCAGCTGCCCGGCTCCAGGCTCGTCCTCGTGGGTGAGTGTGTGGGGTGTAGCACTGCTGCTCCTCTTTGGAGTGGGTTGATGGGAACTTCCCTTTGCAGCCCCCACCCTCCTCTTCCTCTCACCCTGCAGGGTTGGCCAATGCCCTGGACCTGACAGACCGGAGCCTGGCCAGGCTGGGAGCCCACCCGGCCGGCAGCCCCCGGCTGCTGCACTTCCCACCCTACACCAAGGAGCAGCTCACCCGCATCCTGCAGGAGCGGCTGGGGCAGGTGGGGACACGGGGATGGCAGAGCGGGGGGACGTGGCTCCTCTGCTCGCATGGGTGGCTGCACTGATAGCCCTGGTGCCCCACAGGTGGCAGGTGACCCCGTCCTGGACTCTGCTGCGCTCCAGTTCTGTGCCCGCAAGGTCTCTGCGGTCTCCGGTGATGCTCGCAAGGCCCTGGATGTCTGTAGGTCAGTGTGTGCCCCAGAACCTGGGGCAGCTTGGTCCCTGTGAGTCTCCATGGCTTCCCTGCTCCAGGGTACCCGTGCCAGGGGTGCCCATGCCAGGGGTGCCCGCTCTGCCCGGCGCTCAGGGCTGTCCCTCCCCAGGCGCGCCGTGGAGGTGGTGGAGCTGGAGGTGCGAGGCCAGACGCTGCTCAAGCCACTGCCTGGGGGTGAGTCAGTGCTGCCAGAGCCAAAACCCTGCAGCCTGTGCTGCAGGGGCTCCTCTGGGGTCGCCTCAGTGGGAGGGAGTCTGGGCTCCCTTCGTGGGGCACCTCTCTCCACTACCACCTCCCTTTTCTCACCTCTCTCTGTCCCACAGGTGACTCCCCAGTGTCCCCTGTCCCCAAGCGCGTGGGGCTCCTGCACGTCTCCCGGGTGCTCTCGGAGGTGTTTGGGGACCGGCTGGCGGGGGGATCCCGGGGGGCCCAGGACACTTTCCCTCTGCAGCAGAAGGTGCTGCTCTGCTCCCTGCTCCTGCTCGCCCGGCACTCGCACACCCGCGAGGTGACCCTGGGGAAGGTGAGTGGTGGTGGGACCCTCTCGGTGGGTGGGTGTCCCTGGGGTGTCTCTTGGGTGCTTTGCTGTGGTGTAACCCCCCCACCACCCCTGCCCTCCCCAGCTCCACGACACCTACAGCCAGGTGTGCCGGCGGCAGCAGCTCCCCGCCGTCGACCAGGCCGAGTGTCTGTCCCTTGTCACCCTCCTGGAGTCGCGTGGTGTCCTCGAGGTCAAGAGGGCCAAGGAGGCCCGGCTGGCCAAGGTACCATGGGGTGGTGGGGCAGGCTCTGGTGGCCTCAGGGTCTGGTGACAGCACTGGGACATGATCCAGTGGTGGGACTGGGGCAGGATCTGGCAGCACGGTGCTGAGCACCCCCGTTCTCCCTCCCAGGTTTCCCTGATGCTGGAGGAGGCAGCGCTGGAGCACAAGCTGCAGGACACAGCCCTGGTGGGCAGCATCCTGGCCCAGGGGCTGCACTGACCCCCCCCACAGCAGCCCCCTCCCCATGGCCCCAAGGGGGATTTTGCTGCTGTGGCAAGAGCAGAGAAGTGGTTCCCAAAGTGTTGGGATGTTTGTAAAGTTGGGCCCTGGGGCTGTCAGTCTGGGGTCTTTTTATTAATATTTTAATGTTATAATATTATTAATGTTATATTGTAATTTCTGCGTGCTGGGAGCTTAGGTGGGAGGCTGGGACACCCCCCAGCCCCTATATGCCCCCCCCACCCAGCCCTTTAGCAGGGAGTGGTGAGTGCTCCTGGTCCCCCTTGCCACCCTGGTGTGATCCTGAGGTCTGGTGTTGCTCCTGCCCTGAATCCCAGACCATGTTTGCTCCCAGCTCTTTCAGAGCCTTCCGGGGCTCTCTGGAACCTCTTGAGCACTCTGGCTGCAGGGAGAATCCTCCCAGTGCCAGCCCTGCTCTGGGTCCCGGTGCTGCCAGTGGCACAGCAGGGGCAGGGACCCCTGGGGGGAGAGGACAGGGGCATCCCTTTATCTCCTGCTGTGAAATAAAGTCATTTTGGTTCAGCTCTGGCTCCTGTCCCCCGTGTTTCACCCCTTTTTCCCCAATCCCTGCCTGCCCCACAGCTGTGCGGACCCAGCCTTGTCCTCCCCAAGCCCTCTCCTGGGCTCCAGCCCCAGGCTCAGCTCCTGGCCCCAGCTCCTGTGTTTCTGTTAAATAATGGACGCTTTGACCTAATTTTGCAGCTTCCTCATTGTGGGGGGGGGGTGTTGGGGGCTCCAAATGGGGGTGAGGGGAGTGGGAGGGCATGAGGCTCTGCTTGTGCCTCACATCCCTCTATCCCACCCTGCCTCTACCATCCCACCCTGTCCCCCAGAACCCCCGGCTGCCCCTCTGCAGCTCCTGGCCAGGGATGGGGTGCTGGTATCCCCAGTGTGCCTCAGTTTCCCTGTGGCCCCAAGGGGTGGCCCTG